AAAAAAAAAGATAAAAAGAAACTTGTTTCATACATTTTCTTAAACATAGAACAAGAATACTATGGTTTAGAATAGCTATGAGAGGGAAAAGTTCAAACATTAGAAATTTTTACCTTGGCAAGATTTCCTAATGAAGCCAACGGCAAAAAATAACCAGGATATAATGGCGTACTGAGATCAAATATGCTGCAACAGAGGATTATAATTCCATCACAAGTATTACCCAATTAAAGAAACGTGAGGTTTCATTTTATAATACAAGTGACAAACCTTCCGGCGCTGCCAATGAAGTCTGCATAAAGGCGCCATTGTTTAGGATCATCATCAAAAAGATTACCAAATCTTCCACCTGAATTTTCAAAAAAAAAAAAAAAGTTAAATATCTTCTCATTCGTATTATTTAGTTTTTCTTGCATTTTTATGAATGCCATGCCTATGAATAAGCGCCCAAGAGCACCAATGCCGTCCTTTGACACCCATCTGCTCCCGCGTGCAACACACAAAAACACAAAAAGTTCCAGTTTAGACAGCCCACTAAAATCTTTTAACATGATGCAAGATTCACAAGATTTTTTTACTATAAAACAGAACAGATATTTCCACATAATAATAAATCGTAACCTAAATAACAACAAAATGAATGACAATACAAACCGTTACCTAATGGCAGCAGCTGAAGCTGCTGCTGTAGTTCCTGAAAAAGAGCCTACTCCAACAGCCTATAATTAGACTGCATAATTTCAGTAGTCAACCTTTGAGTACTAAGATTTCTCTTCTCATAAAACAGAACAGTAAAGCCGGCCAGATGTGTTAACTGGTTTGTCAAGAAGAATTTATCATAGAACCAATTCGAAAATTCTTAAATTCAGTTAGAAATCATCACTTCTTGAAAGTACGAATCAACCAAAAAAACTAACAAATCCGTTTCCAGAACAAAATGATATATCAGCAAAAAAATAAAAAACAATTAATAACGTGCCTTTAAAAGACTGGATGTGACCAACGTATGACATATCCACCCCGTAACATTAGTTGGGAACTGAAGCAACATGTACTCCAAGTAATCATCCGAAACTGAATCTGCATAGAAAATCCAGAAATCAACACAAAAACAGGCAACATTATCAAGCTCAACTCATATTATCACCTAAATTGTCAAAACATTATGTTCAATAAGCAAGATGAATATAAACCTGCCTGGGAATCCAGCAGGCAATATGAAATCTTTGATGACTTTAGGAAGCCAATATAAATCAATGGCAGCCTCCAAAGTACCCGACTCTCGAAAGACGACTTTTTCAGGCGTTCGTTCCTCAAGAACTGTTCTAACATGAGAATCACTTTCCACAATATATCTGAATCAAAATGCAATAACATAAGGGCAATTGCGGCGCTTGTACTTATAAGAGGGAAAAAAAGCCCAAACACACACACACACACACACACATACACACACACACACACACACACACACGCACACAAACAGACTAGTGGAAGCTAATGCAATCTGAAGTAATCGAAATCAAAACTATGACGCAAAGGTTAACAAAGTACCTTTTGGAGGTGCCATTTCCGTATTTTTCCAGCAGAACCAGATGATCTTCATTTTCCTTCCTTCAATTAATCAGCAAAGCATATCATCAAATACGGAAATGCACACACACAAACATGCACTAGTGCCTAGTGGAGTGAAAAAGTAGATGATATTGATTCGAATGCTTACTTAAGAGACTGGGAGTCGTCTTCTCCGGTGGAATGCGGCGGCGAGGAGTAGCAGAGTACCGGAAATCGGACAACCCTAGCCCGGCCTGACTTTTGCTGCCGCGAGTGAATGGTGAAGCCATGGCAGGTAAATCTCAAAGCTGTAGCCATTTTTTCTTTTTTTTTTTTGGGATTTTGTTTTTCAATTTCCTTGTTTGGTTTTCAGTGTGTGAATTAGGCACGGCCGCACGGGAGCATATATATTGGCATTACCGTATTATTAATTTATTATATAGTTATTGTTCGTCATCTAATATGGACTTCACATGAAATTTTTTCAATCATATATTATATTCTATGTTTCTAAAATATTTTATATTATATTCTATGTTTCTAAAATATTTTTTAATTTCAACTTTTGAATATACAAATTTACATCGCAATATTGTACGGTTTGATCACTGGCGGATTTACATAGGGGCCCGTAGGGGCACGGGCCCCTGTAATTTTTTTTGTAATATGTATGTATATATATATATTATATATATAAATGTATTAATTAACATAAAAATACATATTAATTATTAATAAAAGTTATTTCAATATAAAAAAAATAAAAAACATATGTTTAGAATTATTCCTTCAATGTTTTGTTATTTTTTAACTTGTAGAATTTACGTGTATACTATATTCAACTTGTTTTTTATTTCATTTTTCTTCTTAAAATACATATAAAAACAAATATTGTACATAAATGTATATACCACATAGGGATTGGATCAAATGTGTCACTATTCTTAAAATGAGAATATAAGACCCAACCTTATCTATTAAATAAAAAACAAGGTGTCTATCAAGATTTATCTTTTTATTTTTTAATTGGTTAAATAATGATTTGACCGTTGACCTACGACGTTGACTGTTTACCGCAGTTTGTGCCCCCGTTGTCCTTGAAGTCTGCGTCCGCCCCTGGGTTTGATGTTTACTATAGTTGGGATGATTTCATCGTATTTAGTGGATTTTTTTCACCACAAATATACACACACATATTCTCTTGAGTCGCTCTTGGCAATTTAAGGTAAAACACGTATTCCGCGAGTAAATTTTGTAGTCGACCACATGGCTTCCTACGCAGCGTAGTGTTTGGTGGGTTATCAGTATTTTAGTGTGTCCCCGTTGGGGTTCAGCAGTGGGTGAACCATGATGTGATTGGTATGTCATATAACGTGGGTGACTTAGTGCTTGTTTGGGAGCACTTATCAAAAAGTCCATTTAAGATATGGACTTATCAAAATGGACTCTCTATAAGTCTCCATCATTTACTTCTAGGTATTAAAACACTGTCGTTTCTTTCTTTAAGAAAACACTCATTCTCTTTCCTTGATATCCAAAATCACTCATTCTATGAGACTCAAAATCAGTTCTCAATCCCAACAATCAATTTTTTATCCAATATCTCTTCTTCTCTTCCCTGATATCCCACAATTGCTCCATCCCCAATTCTAGATCTCCTCAAAACCCTGTCTCCGACGATTTCCATAGTGAGAGGCGGTTGAAGATGGCGGCGACACGGTTAGGCGACGCATCCCAAGTGAAAGCATATTATTTGGATTTCGTAAGCCGTTCACAGGCCCAACACTCCATCCCTCCCATCTGCTAGGAAATTGTAATACCTTCTCTCAGTTCTCTTCTCATGGCGATGCATTTTTTGACAATAATTTGGGTTTGTATATAGTTTATTCGAGATTCGATATTTTCGATTTTGTCACTCTGGGCAATGAATTTTCGGATTGTATACATCGTATTTGAATAATCATGATGTTCTTAATCAACATATTTGTTACTGTGTATTATATTAGTTGACAACAAGTTGTTTTCATGTTGTTTGATACGCATTGTGATGTTTTTTTTGTTGTTGCTGCACAAAAATTTTGATTTTTTCTTATAATTTTTCTCTCATACACGGTTCTGTCGCGCCGCCAACGCCTGTTGTCGATCCCAAAATCAAGTTGTTATCGTGATCCGTCAATTTGATTGCGAGAGGTTTTCTGTGTGATATGTGCATATAAGATGTTTTTTTTTTTGCTTAATGAACAAGAAAAAGTTCATTGTTCATACCTCATGAATTATTATCTACAATTAAAATTACTGATTGTGGAGAATGTAAACATTTTCACCAAATAATTTCAAAATTTACTTCATTGTTAATCTTACTTTTTTTTTTTGTTTATTCAGTGATACTTGTCACATTTTTGTCTTCTAATCCTTTTGTTATGGGCTTCGTTAAATTTTTTCTGATCTTTTTTTTCTTCAAACATTTTCTCGATTAAGTTGGTAGTTATTTTGTTGATTTTTCAAATCTCTTCACGTAACTTCTCTTCTTGTTTTTTTTTTTTTTTT